TTAAAAAGCCAAGCTTGTCAAAGATGCCAGACGCCAAAACCAAATCTCTATGCACTCATGTCTGGAAAGGCCAACAGCTCTAACAAAAGGAACACTGAACTGCTAATCATCCATGAATCTAGCAAAACACAAATTCAGGTAAGTCCAAAATGTATGGCTCCGTAAAAGCATATCTAAACTAAACAATTTGGGACTGGGTTATTGGGAGAATTGGTTGTGCCGGCATGGACCTCCCTCTCTCTTGAGAGTGGCATTCAAGGTTCTTTTCTCACATTCCTACTGGATGGACAACTTTGCCCATCTGAGTTGCTTTTCAGCTCACCTTACCAATGGTATATTCTGCATGCACAATAAGAGGGACAGGCAGGTTACCGGATCTGAGTTTTAGACAGAGCCAGAGAAATAATATCCCCAACCACTTAAACGGATTAACGGATAACATGCACACCTTTGAACCTGCTTTGCTACCAAGTGAGCTTTCACAGCTCTTGCTCAAGGACATAAAACATTTCAGCTTAATGAGTTAAGACTCGGCTCTCACCATCTCCTAAGCCAATCTGTTAGAAACCACCACTGGAGTTGCAAACACAAGCAAAGCTTGATCATCACTGTAACATATTCATCAGCATTTCACAAAAGAAAAATAGGGATGCACTCAAGATTCCTGCACAAGTCACCCACCACCCACTATTTCAAACTGGCTTCTATATGCTGCACTCACTGATGCCGAAATGGCCTGTTTTCCACCAACCGAATAGCCAGAAGGATTCATGTTAGCTTCTGTTACAGGTACAGAAGGAAAAGAGAAGTGCCCTCAACTTCCAAAACAATTGACTAGCCGTTGGAAGCTGCAACAAAATGTTGCAGCATGGAGAGCATCTGTTCAGGGTTGCAGCCAGCCATGCCCCCTTTCCAGGATATTCATTTTCCCTCCCTGCATCCCAACTAGTTCTCCTCCCCCCCCACAGCAAAACAAAAAACCCTGTCAACCAGCACTGTGTGTCCACTGAGCATGCTCAACCATCACTGTGCCTGATTATTCCTCCCCTCTTCTGCTTGGGTGACACCATTTTGGATACATCAGCAATGACACTCACAGCCTAATCATTGGGAATAACCATTCCAAATTTATTCAAGTAGCTGCCACAGAGCTGTCAGGTCAGGAACATCCAGAGTAAGGAATTAACTCTTTGTTGTTAAAAGCACACTTAAGAATTAGGGAAAGGCACGTCCATCAGTCCTATGTCTCTCAGCTACTCCTAGGTGAGCACCCAATGAGGCAGTTGCTGCAACAGAGAGGCCCCGCCCCTGACCTCAGCTAATGTATCTCCTCCATCCAAGCTGTGTGCAAGCAGACAAAGACTCCACCTGCATGTCACCTTCTGCTCCTCCCTCTTCAATCCTCTCCTGGCCCTGGGGCAGCAGGAAGAGATATGGAAGCCCTTGACTCTCCACCAGCCTGACCTCTCTCTCCTGCCTACTGCACTTGTTCTTCACTCTCCAATCCTGCAGCTTCTCCTGCCTCTGACTTTCATCTCCCGGCTGTTACAGGCTCCCCTAGATCCCTGATCCATTCTTCCAAGCCAAGTCTCCAACTCCACTTCTCCTGCTGCCCAGTCCTCAGTGTCTAGCCAGTCCCTGGCAGTAGTTGAAGGTATATCACCATCCATGCACATCCATTTATGATTAACAGTTTTGGTTCATCTCCATCTCTCTCTCTCTCTTTTCACTCTTACATTCAGTTCTCCACATCAACATGCCTTAAAAACAACAACAACCCAATGGCAACAAGTCATCGTGAAAATTCACATTGATCTATGTTTATACCAAATAAAGCCTCTGAGAATTCTTAAGCCAAGAGTGGAAGCTGAGTGGAAGCCAAAACAATGAGCATTGGTCACACTGGCTGAGGCTGATGGGAGTTGGAGTCCAGGAACATATGAATGCAACCAGAATGGGAAATGCTGTCCTAGTGTGTTTCCTGGGAACACCCTGTCCTAGGCAAAACACAGAGTATCTGGATATCAATGAGCTAAATAGCTGTTCTGTAAAACTATTCCCATTTTTTAAATCCCAACTCAAGTTCAACATCAATCTGAAAACAGCTTCATTTCAGAGTTAGGGTGAAAACAGTCAACTTTCTGGGCCCGATGGGTTCAGCTATACTGGGTCAAAATGGGCACATATACCCAGAATATATCCCAAGTTCAACGATGAACAAGTAAGGATTTCAGGAAACAAGATCTCAGCTTGCGGTACAATTGAATCCTGCAAGCGAGGGGGTGGGGGTGAGATTCATATACTTTTCCAGTTATCTGTCAGCATCACTGTTGTTAAACATGGTAGCGGTCTAGTATTCCTCTTCTCTTTTAAAGGAAAAGCATTACATAGGAATGACCCCGCGTGTGACACCCAATCTCCCCCGAGCCCACCTTTTGACATTGAATGCATCCTGAATATTCAACCATCTGGTAGTTACTCGTTGTACCTTCTAAAATGTACTTTGGGGTTACAAGTCAAAAGCTGCCATCCACAACATATTTGACAGAATCCCACTGAGCCTTTCTCTGTGTAGTCTTCTTGTTCCTTCTCTTCGTCACAAGCCTGTTTTCCCTTCCAGGCAGGCACGTGCGGGGGGGGGGACCACCCTCTCATCTTTGTTCAATGCCCCCAAGGATACAGACAGTGAACATCCCTTCTAACACTCTGCAGCATCCGTTCACATCCACATAGGCTTGTGTTTTTTCCCCACAGACAGCAAAAAGGGAAGGCATGGAGATGGGGGAGAAATCAGGTCCACTTTGCATTTAAAGACAAACCAACCTAATTCACATTTTAGATACAGCAGGAGAACAGAAGACCCTGAATTTATAATAATAATAATAATAATAATAATAATAATAATAATAATAATAATTTATACCCCACCCATCTGGCTGGGCTTCCCCAGCCACTCTGGGCAGCTTCCAAAAAAAAATATTAAAATACTGTACTACATCAAACATTAAAAGCCTCCCTAAACAGGGCTGCCTTCAGATGTCTTCTAAAAGTCTGGTAGTTGTTGTTCTCTTTGACATCTGGTGGGAGGGCATTCCACAGGGAGGGCGCCACTATTTGTGTTTCCCTGATTTCTGCAAGGTCGTTCTACAGCCAGATGATGTGTACAAACATGCATATACTGGGGTAAAATGTGCATTAAAAAGTAGCACAGGGAGGGAAGGACTGGGATCTTTTCATAGTGTTGGGCAACCCCAACGAGCCACTAATGAGAGCCAGAACAGAGTACAGAGTACACATCAGATACTGTTTTAATCTTGGTGATATGCCCTGACCTCATGACAACCATTCAATCCCTAAAATGCCCAGATTCCATATAATAACTCCAGAATTTCCCAACTTTTGTTGGTCTCTTTATTCCAAGATGGAGAATCCATAGCCTCCAGACACTGTTTGATTGCAACTCCTGTAGTCCCAGGCTACTGGTCAGCTGGGACTGGTGGGAGCTGGAACCCAGCAACAACTGAGGATTCACAGATTTGGTTATTCTGAGGGATGGGTTGAATGAGTCTGTTTCCATTCCATATCACTTTTGAATGTGTTCACCCAGAAGCCCATTCCATCCCATTTCTGCATTAAGCTGCTATGATCCATGCATAGCTGAACTACACGCCCTGCCCTGCAGCTACTTAAAAGTCTCAAACTTCAAAAGGCAATTGTGTCCCCAAAATTACAGGCATGCAATTGCAAACATTCCTGGGCACTTCTTGCGTATTTGCAAAGAATACCAATCTCCCTATCTGTGGAGAGGCTTTCCCCCTCTGCTTTGATCTTCTTGCAGAGCGAAACACACTGGAGAACATCAGAGCCCTCCCCACTCCTCGCCAAACAGCTGACGGTCAGGAGGAGACCCTGAAAGCCACACAAGATCTCACCATGGAGCATATCTCAGTCTCTGCTTTAAATGGAGAGGGAGAATGAGCTCGGGACCATTTTCATGCAAGGCATGAGCTTGACCCCTGAGCTATGGGGGAGCTTTGGGTCCTGTCCTCCACCTTCCTCCACCAATCTGCTTGCCCCATTTCAATGAGACCTTGGCAAACTGCATCCTGATAGGCATTCTCTTACATCATTGGGCTAGCCTGAGCAAGGAGGAGGAAGAGATGGTGGTAGTGGTAATAAGGGGCAACAAGTCCTTGGATCAATGGTGACACAGTGAGTTGGGGACTATCATTTATTTTTCCCAAATGCCCCACTATTTCAGGAAATAAAATTTAAATGCTCCCAGACTTGCCCACCTGGCACTGATTGACACGGTGGAGAGCGAATGCCTCGTGAGTCCAGCATCTGCCTAAAAATGCTACACGGTGACACCAGGCTTGTTCCTAGCCCATGACACACACCCCATTGTGCAAAGTTTATTTGTTTCCATGCATCTTTGTTGTGCAGTGAGCTGTAAAAGTTTTCTGATAGTCAATAAAAAATTTACGCCTTGACAATGGAAATGTTTCTCTCCTCCCCATCCCCTGTCCTTTCTGGGTTGCTGCGAATCTGCTCGACGTGCATTTCTCCCCCAACATGATGAACACAATGGAGCGAAGATGGTGGTGGCTCATGCCCATTGGGCCTAGGAGGGCGAAAGGCAGAGGAGGCCAACAGTAGGTGACAACGAGAGGCAATGACAGGCAGAGACAACTCACTCTAGTTTGGTCTCCCTCCTTCTCCTCCCTGCTGAGTTCTATTAGGGCAACATTGAGACCAAGGAAGAAGGTGGTGACAGCCAAAGCCATTCAAGTAAGAAGGCAAGCAGACTGAAGTTGATGGGGCAGTGCCCAATCGTAATGGGCCAGCCTCCACTGGTGAACCAGCACTTGGGAAGAATTAAGCCTGAAGTTAAGAAGGAGCCTTATCCTGAGCCAGGTCCTTCATCTAGCTCAGTATTGCCTACAATGGTTGGTAGCAGCTCTCATGGATTTCAGGCAGAGATCTCCCCCAGCCCTACCTGGAGAAGCCAAGGATTGAACTTGGAACCTTCTGTGTACAGGGCAATGTACTCCACCACTGAGTTACAGCGCTTCAGAGTTGGTGGGGCAGTGCCCCTATGTGCCGGAATGGACCAGACTCCACTGGAGAAAGACTTCCTTTTCCAATTCAAACTATGTCTTCCCTGGATGGAGGGTGACAGACAAACACCTCGGCGATCATTATTCCTGTACAACGCTTGAAGCCAAGGGACTACAGTGGTACCTCGGGTTACAGATGCTTCAGGTTACAGACTCCCAGAAATAGTGCCTCAGGTTAAGAACTTTGCTTCAGAATGAGAACAGAAATCGTGCTCTGGCGGTGCGGTGGCAGGGGAGGCCCCATTAGCTAAAGTGGTGCTTCAGGTTAAGAACAGTTTCAGGTTTTAGAACGGACCTCCAGAACGAATTAAGTATGTAACCAGAGGTACCACTGTATTCTCAAGACTACCCTCAGCTTCCAGATCCCAAAACTAATCCTGCAATTTGTCAATCAAGATGCCCCACAGAAGGTGACTGATGAACAAAATGACTCCAAACGATCCGTACCAGCCACCCAAGTAGTAAACATGGTACCAGGGGAGCAACCTCCCTCTCACAACACTACCTGGTCTTTTGCAAGAGTAAAATCTGTCCCAGCCCTCCAAAGATGGCAAAACAGATGAGAGCAAGAACAAGTCCCCAGTTGACCAATTTGATTGGGCCACCACACAACCAAGTCTCTAGCTTGAAGCAGCCCCAAGCCATTTGGAAGAGGGCATTCAATGGGTCACAGGACCACAGTTCAGTAGTTAGATTATCTGCTTTGCAAGCAGAGGGCCCCAGGTTCAAACCGTGGTATCTCCAGGTAGGGCTGGAAAGATCCCCTGTCTGAAACCTGGACAGCGGCTGCCAGTCAGTGTAGACAGTACTGAGCTAGTTGGACCAACGATCTGACTTGCTATAAGCTAGCTTCTAGTGTTCACAGTCATGCAGAGCCATGGAGTGTAGCAAGAGAACAAAACAAGACAACAACAATGACAACAACAACAACCTTGGCATGTAACATTACTAGATAAGTTGTCCAGCTGGAAAGAATCAAAATGATGGCCATGGCAAGGGAGAGGGTGCAATTTTGGTCTCTGTATTTGACCCATGGAATATGGTTCTGCCCCCAAAGGAACTCTAGATAAATAGATAGGTGGAGATCCCCCGCTCAGCTATTCGACAAAATAAAATGAAAACCAGCATTTTTGTTTCACTCCTGCCACCTCACTGCCCTGCTACAGAACTTTTACTTCTCCAACAACTGCACAGAATAAAATATTCCTTTCTCTTCTTGCAGGAAATATGCACACACTTCTCTCCTGTGGCTATTTCAAAGAAACCGGGTCACAAACCAGACCTAACGTTTTCCTGTGTTACTTGCAAGCAAGTCAGATTGCTAGAGTTCCAAGCCTTTGTACAGATTTCAGCCCAAGAATGACCACAGCCAAGGAAAACACATGCGGCTTTGAAACTTCATGGCAGCACTGAGGACAACGAGTGACCAGGAATACCTGTCTAAAAGTGGGATCTGTGCAGGAAAGATGCCCACATGCACCTCTCCTCCCAGGAAGGAAATATATCAGCTTCACATACCTTTTCTGCATACTTGAATTTTACGTAGAACCAGCTCGACTTGATCATCGTCTCTGACTTTCAGGTAAGCTTTTTTCCCCCCTCCAAAAAAAGATGCCAGCAATGTTTTTTCCTCCTTTAAAAAAGGATCCCAAGGGCTCTCTCGAACGGCAGAATGTTTTTTTAAAAAAAGAAGAGGAGGAGGAAGGGAGAAAAGGGAAGGAAGAAAAGGGAATGGGAAATAAATTCTCGCTTTCAGCTTGATAGCTCTGAACCCTCGCTGAAGGAATGCTGGATTTTGCCTCCCTGTAGCTGCTGTCCAAAATGCCTCCGTCTGTGCTCCTCTGTCGACTTGGCCGCCTGACAAGACACTTCCACAAACGGACCGCAAGCTGCATTCATCACAAGTGGCACATGTCAGTAAATCCAAGAGGCTGGCTTCAGAGCTGGCAGCCACCCAGGACCGTGACCTCCCCTGGCGGAATGAATAATGAATTCCATCGCTTCCCCCTCCAGACACAGATTAACACCTGGCTAAACATTATTCTGACAACCAAAGGCTGAGCGGCTTTTGGCTGGCCTGCTTGGAGAGCCCACGGTGGCGGGTTTAACCCTTTGCACTCGCCGCGTCCGGATCCCTACCACCTTTCCTATAAACAACAACAAAGCGTGGGGAGCAGGGAAGGAGGTTCCTGCCCAGCGAAAAACCTCTTCCTCCACTTCAAAAGGAGAGGAGAAGAGGGGGGAAAAAAGATTACAGGCCTAAATATAGCAGAGAAACTATAAAGCCTCTTAAGCAGAAAGCCACCGTCTCTTTCCCAATTCTGCGGTCAAATCTTTTGTATTCCAAATGCCATCACAGGAATGGTGTGAGGTCCATCTCCCGCCCTCCCTGCCGTGCTTCTGGCATCCTTCAATATGCCTCCCATTTTGAGAAAACGTCTTTTATATCCCAGTACATTGCAGCCCAAGGGTAAATAATGAACATCACCCTAGCCTGGGTTTAATGGCAATAAAAGAGGTGGAGAGCCTACCTCTCTCTGCCTCTCTCTAAGCCACTCCCTCTAAGCCTGGAGCTCCTCCCTCTTAAGTCCAGATGAGTCACGATTGGCTGGGGATCTTCTGGGCAGGATCATTAAGTCAGGGGCTCATAGCAGCGTGCCTTGAGGAGTCAGATCTGTTCGGGACGTGGGCATGGGATTAACCCCTGGTTGTCAGTGGAAGAAGTCCCCTTAGATCAAACATAATTGCAACCCTTGAAGTCCTCTTCTCTATGGAACCAAAGAGAACTAAAATGCTAGCAGAATAGGGAAATATGAATCAACGTGCCTGTAGAGTGGCTCCCTAAATTCTCATTATTATTATTTATTTATTTAGCAAAAATTTTATACCGCTTAACCATCAAAAGCTCTAAGCGGCTCACATGAAATCAATACAGTATTAAAATTACTGATAAAAGCCAAACCACACCCCTGGCCTTCCACACTACAGTGGAATAGTAAACAATAGCACACTGCCAACAGAGTGGAAGGTGACATATACCGTATTTATAGTATTTTATTTAATAGTAATTTAACTTGAAGCTTTAACCCAAAGTTAGCAACCACATGTTATCTGGCTCCCCCACCCCAACTTTCATTTTTTTTTCTGAATCATGCTGACAGTCAACCAAAAAAGGCTCATTTCATGCCTTTTCAATAGATAGGACTGCAACTAGGAAGCTAGCAGGACCAAATACAGTCCTGTGGAATTTAATTTCATTTAAAACATTTGGGGGGAGGGAGAACTTTTTTCTGGGAGGTTTAAAGCAACTCAATGCATTTAACAGGGTTGTATTCACCATAGTGCAAAGGAGATTGTTCCCTCAGGCAAGCAAAAAAATATATGTTTTTTTGATGGAGCAATCTCCCCTTTCCATGTGCTGTTCTGGGGGTCTTCCCAACCCCCGAGAGCTGATATTTGGAGGCCTCAGAGGGAGGAGAGGCAGGGAGGTAGAGTTGCACTCAGGGCCGGATTTAGGTTTGATGAGGCCCTAAGCTACTGAAGGTAATGGGGCCCTTTATCAACAACAAATTGTCCTTTGTCCTTTGTCAACAACAAATTGTTACTTTTTTGTGTGTTGAATATATGCTATATGGTAATTTATGGACCTAACAGCTATCTACAGCCATTTGCACATAATATGTATTATCAAAGTAATTGTTGAACTGAAATACAATTAAGAAGAAGTATACTAACAGTGAAATTTGGGGGGCAGGCAAAGAGACTGGGGCCCTAAGCTATAGCTTGTTTAGCTTACACTTAAATCCGGCACTGGTTGCACTAGCAGAAAACATTGCACTGGCTTCTGCTAGCACAACAATTTCATTGAATACGGCCCACAGTGTCAAAAAGAAAACACAGAAAAGGAAAACAGAAGCTTAATACCATAAAAAGGTAAGAGGTCGTCCTTGATACCTGTAGGTTTGAGGACTCTTAAGATCACAGCAAGCATCCTGCATTAGCCAAGAAGCAAAATACATATCTTATGTAAACAATGCAAAAAAACCAAACACCTAGAATAAAGGTTGGGTGTATATTATATGTTGCCTGCAAAATACCAGTGAAAAGAATGCTTTAGGTTGGTTGTGTCATAAGGCTCTAGAATTGTAGGCTTAGAAGGTGCTTCAGAAGTCTTCTGGTCCAGTTCTCTGCTCCATGCAAGAACCTATCAATTGCACAGTACCCCGGATAGGTTGGCTGTCCAATTCCTGCTTAAAATACTTTCAGTCAAGGAGAGCCCATCACCTCCCAAGGCAGACCGTTACACGGTTGAACAGCACAGCAAGATGTTCTTAATGTTTAGTCAAAACCCACCTTATTGTAATTTGAACCCACTGCTTCAAGCTCAACAAATGTGCTCCATCACCTTCAAATGTCCAAAGAGAGCTATGCTTTATCTTTTAAGGATTTCTTCTCTGGGATAAACATTCAGCCTTTCCTCATAGCACTTAGTCTCTAGGTTTCTTTCTGGGTGGAGGCCGGTCCATTAGGGTATAAAGCCTTCCCTCACCTGCCTGCCTTCTTACTAGCACCCAGTCCTGGGGGCTGCAATGCCTGGCAGCTTCCCCCTTCTTGGTTGTGTTGCTCTTGTAGAAGAGGAGAACAAAACTGGAGTTAGCTGGTTCTACCTAGAATTGGCTCTCACTTGCAGATGCATGCCACTCGGGGTGAAAGCCTAAATGGGTTGGAGAGTTGGGAAGTGAAAGTGGCTCAGTTGCTCAAACACCAGACAGTATAAATAATAAAACCTTGACGGCAGGGCTGCAGGGAGCCAGTGGGTGTCCACAAAGTGGAGCCTTCTTCATGGGAGAGACAGAGGAGAAGTGAGTGGGCAGCCGTAAATGGGAAAAACAGGATGGGATCTGTGACTTAGGAGCCCATTGCTTGTTTAATCTGTTTAAACATCTTGGGTTTGGTTATTTTACCTAGGTCTTTGGCTAAATTGGAAATTATTATTTTTTTGTCATAGTAATTTTGCTTCTTTCCCTTTTGACAGTGTTGCAAGAACACCCCCCCATCATTCAGTTTGTACAAACACAACACACACACACACACACACACACACACACACACAAACACACGACATACGTGACGTTTCTGTTATAAATTCATAGTAAATCAACCGTACATCGGATCTACACCGTTCCACTTTTATTTTGCTCCATGAAGGAAGGTCTATCAAAGGGGGATGGTTTGATACAGGATGGCCATAATCCCTTAAGCGTACCAGCACATACTCAGGAGCCCTACCCAGTTGGCATGACAACCTTGATGGTCCCAAACAGAAGACCATCAAAGTCACAAAGGACTTGCATATGGGAGTGGATTCAACACGGACTGGAACAAAGGACAATGATATCAGATCTTCCCTCTGGGGGCAGGAAACTGCCAACTCCCCTTTGTCCTCTGGAAATGACTCATGGGGAGGGTGAAAGGAGGAACCAGCCAGGTGACAAGATACTCAGGTTACCGCCACAACTCCTCCCTCAACCTCCCTGTTTGTGATGTCTCAATGATGTAGTCATGATGTAGTTGTGATGTAGTTCTAGGGGTGTAGCTTGGGGGATTAGTAGCTAATAAAAGTTGGGGTCTTCTTTTGTTCTGGGCTTCCATTTTGTTTCACCTGGTGGCAGGTGGGAGTCCTGTCGCAACAGTCTTCAATAAAGACCAAGCCTACTGGCTGCTGTTTTGCTCTGGTATTCCTGGCTGGTGTCCTTGGTTTTTTTGTCCAAGGGAGCCCTCGGATTTCTCCGTTAACAACAGAATTGTTCATTTGCTATTTATTGGAGCTGCTTATATGACTATGTAATCTTTGCAAATATTCAATGAAGAGTGGGCTATGAACATTGTAAATTTGTTGGTTTGTTTTAAATCCCCAATATCTCCAGCTAGGGCAGGGAAAGAACTTTGCCTGAGAGCCACTGAGAGCCACTGCCAGTCATTTTAGGAACTCTAAAATGGTTCTTTGGTTCTGTTATTTACTGAGATAGATGGACCAATGGTCTGGCTTGGTATAGGGAAATGTTCCTTGCATCTTCCTCCCAAGTATTTATGTTCAGGAAACTGCAACATAACACACTTACAGCAAGTCTAATAGGAATACTCAGGATTAAATGGATTGTGAATAGCAGCCATTCTGTCTGTGCATGGGGAAATATCACAGCTCAATTCTCAGTGGGGTGTTTTATCTTCACGGCTTTGAGAATAACACCCTTGTTTGTTTCAAAGCTTCCCATGTCAGCATTTCCCCCTGAAAACTTGTTTGTTTTCTCTTCTTACAGCAGCTATTGTCTATGCCAAAATGCGACCATCGCACAATAGGCTGGCTTCAGCTAGATCAATCACCCTAGCTTGTTAACAGGCCTGTCCATGTGCATACCAAATGACCACACAAATCAAGAAGCCATCCATCCGCTCCGCTAGACTGTCACGTCCCAAATGGTTGTGCCTTCTAGCTTGTCTCACAGAGAGCCTTGGAGACAATTAAAGCTGTGTGGGGTGTTTCAAGTTCTCTTTTCTACCACAATCAGAAATCTTTCTGTTCAGCTGGAGAGAAGTGCCCTTGAACTGCGAAACAGAGCCATGGGCCAGTCACTGCCTCTCAGTCTAGCCTATTGTAAGGATGAAATGGGGAGGAAGAGAACCATGTATACCTTGTAGGAATGGTGGGATATAAGTGTAACCAATAATCAAATAAATAAGCAAACACATAAAAGAATGGCAGGTAGGTAGAGTGGGGGCTGCAGGGGGATCAAATCAGATGGGGCAGTACCCCGCTTGCCCTAATGCATTTCCCCCCAAAATATGGGCTTCAACCCACAAGTAGGTCATAAACCCATAATAATTACTGCTTTTAATCCTTAACAGGTCTGATGAATGCCTCTTGCATTTTGTTTCGTTTTGTTGGCTTTATAATAATGTTTTTTTGGAATCCGTAACTGAATGTCAGAAATGTTTCAACACTTGGGATCCATTCTCTGGAGGCTGGTGGCAGATCTGGTGACAGTTTGCCACAAAGTGCTTGAACCAGGAGTTGTGAGTGACCGTGACAGCTCTCCTCTGGTGTACAGGTACCAAAGGCAGCAAATATGCATCAGAGACAAGCCGCAAGAGACACTCAAGGCAACCCCCTGTACAAGCACCTTGTGGAGAACTGTCACCAGATCTGCTGTCAGGATTCATTCACAGAATTGTAGAGTTGGAAGGGACCATGGCGGTTATCTATTTCAACCCCTTGCAATGCAGGAATCTGCCGAGGGTGAGTTGACATGTGCTTAGTTGAAACAAGAAATAATATTATTGTCCTATGTATTAATTAGGGCAGGGGTCAGCAACCTTTTTCAGCCGTGGGCTGGTCCACCATCCCTCAGACCATGTGGTAGCCGGACTATATTTTGAAAAAAAATATGAATGAATTCCTATGCCCCACAAATAACCAAGAGATGCATTTTAAATAAAAGGACACATTCTACTCATGTAAAAACACACTGATTTGCGTGGGCCGGACTGAGAAAGCAATTGGGCCGCATCCGGCCCCCGGGCTTTAGATTGCCTACCCCTGAATTAGGGCATGTACAGATCCCCAACCACATGGCTGTATTGTGCAATTTGCTCTGGGCCTCCCTAGTGGCAACCCACCCCACTCCACATCCACCCCCCGAGCTTTTGAAATCAGGGTTTAGAAGCCATGTTAAATATGGAATCAAGAAGGGGGCAAGGAGAGGCTGGCATGCGGCTAACTGCTGATGATAGCCATCTCATGCTCAGTCAGTAGAGCATGCGACTCTTAGAGTCATGGGTTTGAACTCCACATTGGACAAAAGATTCCTGCATTGTAGAGGGTTGAACTAAGTAACCACTGTGGTCCCTTTCAGGTCTATGATTCTATGAATCTGTCTAATCCCCTCTTGAAATGTTTCAGGCTAATGGCCATCACAGATTTTTGCTTTAAAGAATGCTGTACATGTACTTTTAAGGAGGACAAATTTTTGGTCTTTAAGGTTATGTGAAAAGGCTAAGAGAAGAAAAAGAAAAGGGAGTGAGGGTGTCTGTGTGTGTGTGTGTGTGACAGATAAATCAAGGGCTGCGCTCTAGCCCTAAGAAAACCAAACCCAATGTTTCAATCACAATTGTTTTTTGTAGCATTTTCCTAATTGCTGAATCATTTCAGGAACACAAGAGCAATGCAGATCCATTTGCCTTCTTGCTAAATAGAAGGTGGAAGTGGAATTATACCATAATTAGAGAGAATAAAACCATATGCTTTCCCTAAATCCCCTGTAAACATCTACAGTGTTTTCCCGAAGAATGATGAGGTTTATTAAGAGAACCGTGCACTACTTAACGTTATGGATTAAATCCACTAGGATCGATTCTTAGAAGAAGGTTCAGCAACTACAAGGAGCTCTGGCTTTCGTCCCAGATTCAGTGCTACCTTCATGTGTGTTCTTCAACTTGGTAAGTTGATTGGATTTCAAGGCTGCCCCATTCCAGAAGACTCATACTGACTACCTTGTGAGATAAGTTCTCTCATGTGCACAGTTTACGGATGGGTGAATCATTATTTTCAGTTTCTCTCTGTTTAAAATGTTGCCATTCTCAAGCTCAGCTCTCCACATTTCTGGATCAGTTTGCAATTTATCTATCTGTTTTAAAAAGACCTCATTAAAAACCACCAGCATTTTAGTGCAATTTTCTCCTAATATAGACGTTTTCGTGTGCAATTTTGGCTAAGGTACATCATCTTGCAAAGCAATTTCTCCTAACATAATGTTATTTTCACCAATATAAGCTTTTTGATAGACACTCTGACCCCAGTATGTGCATATATGTATTTTGTACTCATTAGTCTGCTTGAGAACTGCATTGCAAAATTCATAAAAATGTGATATCTTAAATATCAAATATCCTAAAGATGGAGCAAGCTTGTTTTCTCCTGCTCCGGAAAGCAGGACTTGAACCAATGGCTTCAATTTAGAACAAAAGAGATTCTGACCAAACATCAGGAAGAAAGTTCTAACAGCAAGAGCTGTTCAACAGTGGAATAGACTCCCTCAGAAGGTGGTGGACTCTCCTTCCTTGGAGGTTTTTAAGCAGAGGTTGGATGTCCATCTTCCAGGGGTGCTTTAGCTGAGATTCCTGCATTGCAGCAAGAATTATGCTGGCCCAGAATTGGAAAACAGAAGTAATACCCACCATTGCGGAATGGCAGGTCAAGATGATGAGTCACGCAGAACTGGCCAGATTGACGGGAAGAATTCGAGACCAGGATGAACAGAAGTTTCAAGAAAGCTGGAGTAAATTTATGGTGTACATAAGAGATAACTGTAAAACCTTTAGAACACTGGCAGGACTGGAATAACTCTCACAACGTATGGCAGATATAAAGTTGAATTACAGTGGTACCTCTGGTTACGTACTTAATTCGTTCTGGGGGTCCGTTCTTAACCTGAAACTGTTCTTAACCTGAAGCACCACTTTAGCTAATGGGGCCTCCCACTGCTGCCACACGATTTCTGTTCTCATCCTGAAGCAAAGTTCTTAACCCGAGGTACTATTTCTGGGTTAGTGGACTCTGTAACCTAAAGCATATGTAACCTGAAGCGTATGTAACCCGAGTTACCACTGTAATAGAATACACGATGTAAGGAAACATAAGATACTTGCTGAAGGGGTGGAGGGAGGTCGGAAGCTCGGCAGAGCTAAAGGTAATTATGTGACATGTGTATTATAAGTATATGTTTAAAGAAAATAATAAAAAATCATTGGGGGGGGGAGAGATTCCTGCATTGCAGGAGGTTGGACTAGATGATCCTCAGGATCCCTTCCAACGTTACAATTCTATGATGCGCAATTCTACCCTACAATTCTGTGAGTCTGGGATCAATGGATCCATCCACACTGCATTTTATGCATCCATACTCTTATTCCTGTTCAGTTCCTGAACCAAGCTATGATCCTATGCATATGAAGGAAGCCAGGGAACAAAGCCAGAATGAGTAGGAAGGAGGAATGAATTCAGCTGTCTCTGAAACAATGAACAAAAGCACTCTGGGATCTCTGTCCTCAGGGGACCCAGAAACATAAATCACATAGAAATCTACCAGTGAAGCTGTGTAATGGTTGTCCATGTAAAATCAAAGAGGTGAGCTGTATCCTGCTGACACTGTCAATGTTTACACCAGGGAAAGAGAAACTTACGGCCCCCTAGATATTACTGGAGTTCAGCTCCCCATCATGCTTGAAAATTGAACAGACTGACTGCAGCGGATAGGAGTTGAAATCCAAAAATATATGGAAGAGTCATGGGTTCCCAGCCCTGATTTAGACAATCATTCAAAGGGTACTGTCAATGACTGAGATAGAAGGTAAAAGAAAAAGAAAGAAACCAGAGCACACGGAAACGCCGTTTACCTTCCTGCCACAGTGGTACCTATTTATCTACTTGCACTGGTATGCCTTCTAACTGCTAGGTAGGCAGGAGCTGGGACAGAGCAACAGGAGCTCCCTCCGTCATAGGGATTCAAATTGCCGACCTTCTGATCGGCAAGCCCAAGAGGCTCAGCGCCACCCACGTCCCTACTGAGATAGAGAAACAACATGAATGGCTCTTTCATTTTTCTTTATTCTGTCACCTCTTTGTTTGCTCTTCGTTTCACAATCTGCTTTTCTTATTTCTTGTTTCTGTTTTCTATTACATGTTGAAAAGTCTCAATAAAATTGTAATAATAAAAAAGGAAAAAAAGCCATGGATGGCCTGAAGAGGAGATGAGACACGTTAAAGCTACCGATGGCTGCTCATCACAATGGCTGTGAGCTCCCTCCAGAATCGCAGGCAGTGTGAATCTCTTCGCCAGTTGTTGAGAATCAGAAGGGGGGGCAGTGCTATTGCACATATGTCCTGTGTTCAGATGGCTGGTATCTCGCTGGCACTGCATAGGAAAGGGCCGTAGTGCAGTAGGAGAGCATCTGCTTTGCATGCAGAAGGTCCCAGGTTCAAACCATGGCATCTCCAGGCAGGTTTGGGAGAGACCCTTTGTCTGAAACCTTAGTCACTGTCAGTCAGTGTAGACATTAAGGAGCTACATGGATGAAAGGTCTAACCAGAAGCATTTCTACTTAGCATTGTAGGGGAGGATATTAACAGACAGGATAATAAACTGTTTTTATATGCAATAACGGCAGCAAGAGTACTATTGGCACAGAAATGGAAACAAGAAGAACTACAGTGGTACCTTGGGTTAAGTACTTAATTTGTTCCAGAGGTCCGTACTTAACCTGAAACTGTTCTTAACCTGAAGCACCACTTTAGCTAATGGGGCCTCCTGCTGCTGCCGCGCCGCCGGAGCATGATTTCAGTTCTCATCCTGAAGCAAAGTTCTTAACCTGAAGCACTTTTTCTGGGTTAGCGGAGCCTGTAACCTGAAGCGTATGTAACCTGAAGCGTATGTAACCTGAGGTACCACTGTACCAATGAAAGAAGAATGGCAGACGAAATTAATGGACTATGCAGAATTAGATAAAATGACAGGAAGGATTCGAAACCTGCGGGATCAGAGATTCTCAGAGGACTGGAGTAAATATGTGAATTATTTGAAAAGCAATTGTAATCAACAGATTACGCTAGCAGGACTGCAAGAAGTTTTGTAAGGAGGACTATGCGAAATATTGCAGAGAAAAGCATGAAGAGAATTATTAGTGAAGGACTATTAAAAGTAATAGTGAAACTAATGAAATGCAGATTAAGTGATAAAGATTGAAAAATCTTCAGATGTGGTTGATGGAAGTCCAAAACACTGTATAAGATAAGAAAATATGATGTATGTTTTTGGAAACTTTATGTAAAAAATAATAAAAATATATATATATTTTAAAAAAAAGAAAGGTCTGGCACATTTCCATGATTTGACTGACTTTTTGTTTAAAGATGAGCCTGCCTAATCTGCCATTCTCAGAACAGAGCAAAAACCCAAATATACCCACCCTTTGAAGATTGCACTTTACTGGATCTTTTTCAGTGCTAATCTCCAGCCAAGGAAACTGTGCAAAAAGTGCATATGCTAAAATGTGCATAATAATTCATTCATTGATGAAAACAACAAAGGCTTTTTTATTACGGGAAAGTGCTTTGCAAAATTGTGTATATTCGGCAAAACTGCATAGAAGAAATGTGTATTTAAGGAGAAAACTGCAGAAAAAATACTCATTTTTAATTTGCTTATATGTAAATCACCTTGAGATGGTAGTTTAGAAGTTGGTCAATAAATCAAGTATGATGGTGGCAGTGACGGAAATGACATAATTATGATGTACGTTCATGAGGGTGCCTTTTTTACGAAAGGTAAATTCCTCCAGAAATGTTAAGAAACGACTCTACCATTGGAAAAAATGGATGAGAGAAACTGAAATGGTCATATTTGTCCTTTCCTCTAAGAGATGGAAGGAGATTGAACTCAGAATGAGGGAGAAATACTCCCCCTACCAAAAATTAAAATGAGGAGCTATGTTTTTCATGCCTCGAACATAGGCAGAAAATGGAGCGCTCCTTCCCATCATCCCTCATAATACCGCCTTAATTATTGATGCAGACAGTCTAAGCAATCTGTAAGCCATATACATAATGCATTTACTTGGAAAATCCACACAAATCCACATAGTATTACAGAGTAAACTACAAGCAGATCTGAGAGCCCTGCCTTAAGAAGCAAGTAAGCTGTATCCATGTACTCAAAAAAATCTGTTTGACGAACGGAAAGATTAGATTACTCTTCCTAATCCAGAGTCTTGCTGCACCACGTTCTCTCTCTCCCCCCTCCCCAACTTATATATTTTCTCCTTCCTTCTTAAAACCCTCATAGCATGAAGAGCTGTGATAGTCACAGTCTAGTGGAACTAGATCTGTCATGCGCTGCAAGGCGATTATTATAAGGAAGAGAATGATCCTTGCTAAAACGTCACACACAGATGTGTCTATGGAAGCCCCCCCACCGCAGCCCTGACTTCTAAAGAAAAGCATTTTTCAGGTGGGGAAAATTTAGGGCAAAGAAATATTTGGCAGGGGAACTGCTGACTTCTGGAACTGGCTGGGTGGAGGCCAACAGGCACATGAGCCAGAGCAAATATCAGGCAGAGAAAACTAATTCTAGTTTTGTCCTCTTCCTCCTCCCTGCTGACGTCCACAAAGAAACACGAAGGCAAAGGGTTCATCCACACTTCCACTCACCCAGCCACTTCCAGACCCTCCAAGTATCCCTATTTTCCAGGGACAGTCCTGGATTTACAGAAGTCATCCCAGTTTCTGATTTGATCCCGAACACCCTGGTTTTCCTTAGGACAGTCTCTATTTTCACCAGAGAAATGTTGGAGGGTATGGAGTTATGTGAGCCCCACCCAAACCAAGGAGATAAGTAACTATGCCACCTTTAGAAGACATCTGAAGGCAGCCCTGTATAGTGAAGCTTGTTTTAATGTTTAATGTTTTATTATGTTTATATATATATGTTGGAAACTGCTCAGAGTGGCTGGGGCAACCCAGTCAGATGGGTGGGGAAGAAGAAGAAGAAGAAGAAGAAGAAGAAGAAAGAAGAAACCCACATTTTCATCAGAGAAAGGTTGGAGTGTATGCACTTACCCCAGGGAAACCCTTTGTGTACTGCTGAATCCGAGCAAACTGCAGTTCTGTGTCAGGTGTGCATGCAGGAGCCAGGCCCTGTGACCAATAGGACTCTGCAGGACTGGGGCTTTCCTAAGTTTGTTCTGGAGAGGCAAGGCACGGCCTCACAGGTGAGGCTGCTTGGTAACTCACTGCACCTGGTGGCAAGAGCCAGGAAGGGAAGGCACACGGAAACGCTTTTTACCTTCCCGCCGGAGCGGTACCTATTTATCTACTTGCACCTTGATGTGCTTTCGAACTGCTAGGTTGGCAGGAGCAGGGACCGAGCGACAGGAGCTCACCCCGTTGCGGGGATTCGAACCGCCGACCTTCTGATTGGCAAGTCCTAGGCTCTGTGGTTTAACCCACAGCGTCACCCGCGTCCCTCCTTATCATTAGTCTGGTATAATAAACTTCTGGCGAACCAGAGCAGCGCACGGAAATGCCATTTACCTTCCCACCAGAGCGGTACCTATTTATCTACTTGCACTTTGACGTGCTTTAGAACTGCTAGGTTGGCAGGAGCAGGGACCGAGCAACAGGAACTCACCCCATTGTGGGGATTCAAACCACCGACCTTCTGATCGGCAAGTCCTAGACTCTGTGGTTTAACCCACAGTGCCACCCGCCTCCCCTCGACCCCACCCATTCTTACATAGCCCTAATTTATGTGTCAACGAGGCCCAAGGGTCTCTGCATAACCCCATCATCGCAACCATTACGTGTTGTGATTCCCAACAGACATCAGATTCGTATCATTTTGATTGTTACATGCATTTAGCCACATTATCCGCCAGGCCTAAGAGATAAAGGCCAGCTGCCCTCCAAGAGCAGAGCTGGAACCGACGGCTACTTTTCTGCAGTGCCCCGTCGAATGCGATCGCTCTGTTGTAGGTCACGGTCTGTTTCTAATCTTCTGATCAGTCACCAGCATGCAAGCAGAAACCTTCAGACAAACACATGCTTCACTTCCTTCAAACTGTGTTTAGTGGTTTCTTTTAATCTTTTAAGCTCCCGAGTTTAATCTAGCAGCCGCCATCAGAACTACTTAAGTAAAATGGAGAATAAGAGATAGGAGTTCCCAACTGAAGGACGGCAAATGGGTGCGTGGAGGCTGAATGGTAAGGGAAGAGCAATCTGTGAGCTTGCTTAACATGTTTCCTTCTTACATGGCATGGAAATTACGCCCAGATGCCTTAACTTGCCATTTCTGTGAGCTCTCTCTCTCTCTCGTTTTAAAGAAGCTCTGTGTGGTTTAACCTCTCCTTCACCTACCATCTAAATCAGTGCTCTTCAGCCTTGGGTCCCCAGAGGTGGGTGGACTACAATTCCCATCATGCACAGCCAATGTAGCCCAATATTCAAGGGTGAGGGGGGTTTTTTAAGTGAATAAATTAATAAGTTATAAATTGCTTCACAGCATAAAGCTAGCAGAGTGGTGAAACATAGAAACACAAACTCGACGAACAATAAAATCAATTCAATGAATTATATTTATATATTTAATTCAATTTATATACCACACCATTTGATGTTGAGAACCACTCTTAAATCTATGGGTATAGGGCTGTATACATTGTTGTTCTTGTTGTTGTTAATGATGATTATAATAGTTGTTTGGGGGATTATACAGTGGTACCTCGGGTTACATATGCTTCAGGTTACAAAAGCTTCAGGTTACAGACTCCGCTAACCTAGAAATAGTACCTCGGGTTAAGAACTTTGCTTCAGGATGAGAACAGAAATCGTGCTCCAGCGGCATGACGACAGCGAGAGGCCCCATTAGCTAATGTGGTGCTTCAGGTTAAGAACAGTTTCAGGTTAAGAATGGACCTCCGGAACGAATTAAGTTCTTAACCCGAGGTACCACTGTACTGTCATTGCACCAGCTGAATTTCTCTGGAGCCTCCTGTCTCTTTTTATTATTATTGTGATAAGGCACTTTGGGAGAAAGCAACTGTCTGGAAAGTGGGATCGAGCCACTTTATACAAAGAAACAAAGGAGCCGTCGAAGTAGCCTTGTCATCATGTAGACAATAGGCCTGGTAAACAAATGCTGCCTGCCACCCTATTTCACAAATATGAAATGCCACCTTGTCTAACTATTGTAATTCAGGATGTTACCGTTCACTCCAGGGGGTTTCTCTCGAGATGTCATCGGGTGACATGTGAGAAACAGGATACGTGCTGAAAGCTAGACATCGAGATGCACCATGTCACATTACAAGGTCAGGAAGCGATGGCAGGCTTTGGAGAAGAGACCTTAGCATGCCTTTTTGGAAGCACCATGTAGGGGCAGCCAATGACAGCCAGCAAAGTATTCAGAATCTTCCCCTTTATCTTCAACCCAAGCATAACCGTGACTTAACATTAATAATTTCTTGCCCATGCCTAGCAAAATATATTGCTCATTTTCTGGCTTCCTGCATGCATATTGTTCAGTTTTATACCTGTGAAAACTATTCACTGCAATGCTCTCTGCTGCATCACTCCAGAAAGCCTTGTCTTAGTCTCTGCATTTGGAATTAGTGTCTTTCAGGCCAGAATGAGGCACCCTTTTTGACTGCAAATGGCTGCATTCTATTGAAGCTATTGACTGAGAATGGATAGCTCAGTTCATTAGAGCGTGGTGCTGATAACTCCAAAGTTGCAGGTTCAATCCCCACAAGGGACAGCTGCATATTCCTGCACTGCAGGGGGTTGGACTAGATGATCCCCAAGGTCCCGTCCGACTCTATGATTCTATTTGGAGGGCTGCATGCATGCAGCGGGTGGAGCCAGAGTGTGAATGATTGGTCATAGGGGGGAAAGAGTTCTGGATGACCTAATCCAGAATAAAAGTTGGCTGTTATGAACTGGCTGGATGCAGAGGAGTGGGGAGGGGAAAACCCTAAGGGAAGAAAGCCCAGAGACAGGGGAGCGGCGGTGAGATGATGAGGAGCGATCAGAAAGAGAAAAGGGAGCAGACTGAGAGGTGGTGGTGTCAGAAGCTGAAGAGGCAACAGGGTTTGGTGAGCAGGAAGAGTCTGTGGCAGAGAGCAGTTCAGACTCAGAGGCAGAAGCGGAGACTGGAGAGGGAGGGTGTGAAGAGGCAGAAATGAGTCAGGCTGCTGAAGAAGCCAAGGTATCTCCCCTTTCTACAGTGACCGGCTCCCCTCCCTCCTGGTCTCCCACAACCAGATGAGGTATGAGGAGCAAAGACCAAAGAAGGGCATGGCAACAGGATCTCAAACTGCTAGGGAAGGACCCAGGGGAGGAGGAGATTTAGGCAACTATGGGAAGGCGGGTACCTACAGTCCCTACAACTGTCTCATAGAAGCTAGATCTACCAGGACAAGTTGCTGGGCTCACTAGGCTTAGCCTCCTGAGTCAACCTTGCTTCCTTGAATAAATTGTTAACTTCACCGACATCGTGTGATTTATTGCTGACCTGCTCCTGACAATGACCCTGCTTCAATTTTCACCATGACTGCCTCAGTTTAGGAAAAATGAGGAAATGAAAAGGGAGGGATTCTAATGGAATTGAAGAACAAGGCAGAGACAGAAGGTGTTGGGAGGTTACATAAAATGAGATTGGATGAGGCTGCACATTGCACACCTGTGTTCAGAAGTGGGGAGAGCGCTCTTCATGGAGGGTGGGGCAGCTTGACCTTTGCTGGATGAGGCCAATAGCCCATCTCACACAGCATCCTTTCCTTATTGTGGCCAACCAGATGCCTATGAGAAGCAGGCTCTGAGAGCAACAACACTCTATCCTAGTGTTTCCCAAACTTGGGTCTCCAACTGTTTTTGGACTACAACTCCCACCATCCCTAAGTAGCAAGAGCAGTTGTCAGGGATGATGGGAACTGTACAGTGGTTCCTTGGTTCTCAAATGCCTTGGTACTCAAACAACCTGGAACCCAAACACTGCAAATCTGGAAGTAAGTGCTCTGGTTTGCGAACTTTTTTCGGAAGCCGAACGTGCTCCGTTTTGAGTGTTATGCTTCCGATCTGAGTGCCACACCTCTGTTTTGAGTGTTACACTGAGGTCTGTTTTTGCTATTTATTATGCAGTTTTGTTTTTGCGGCTCCTTTTGTTTTGTTTCTGTGACTGTGTGGAACCCAGTTCAGCTACTGATTGATTGACTGTGTGACTGCAGTACAACAATAATAATAATAATTTCTTATTTCTACCCCGCCCATCTGGCTGGGTTTCCTCAGCCACTCTGGGGCAGCTTCCAACAAAGATTAAAAATACATTAAAATTTCACACATTAAAAATTTCCCTAAACAGGGCTGCCTTCAGATGTCTTCTAAATGTCAGGTAGTTGTTTATCTCTTTGACATCTGATAGGAGGGTGTTCCACAGGGCGGGCGCCACTACCAAGAAAGCCCTCTGCCTGGTTCCCTGTAACCTCACGTCTTTGCTTCTCGCAGTGAGGGAACCGCCAGAAGGCCCTCGGAGCTGGACTTCAGTGTCCAGGCAGAACAATGGAGGTGAAAACGCTCCTTCAGGTATACTGGACCAAGGCCGTTTAGGGCTTTAAAGGTCAGCACCAATACTTTGAATTGTGTTCAGAAACGTACTGTGAGCCAATGTAGGTCTTTCAGGACTGGTGTTAAATGGTTTTGGCAGCCGCTCCCAGTCACCAGTCTAGCTGCTGCATTCTGGATTAGTTGTAGTTTCCGGGTCACCTTCAAAGGTAGCCCCACGTAGAGCGCATTGCAGTAGTCCAAGCAGGAGATAACCAGAGCATGCACCACTCTGGCGAGACAGTCTGTAGGCAGGTAGGGTATCAGCCTGCATACCAGATGGAGCTGGTAGACAGCTGCTCAGGATACAGAATTGACCTGCACCTCCATGGACAGCTGTGAGTCCAAAATGACTCCCAGGCTGCGCACCTGGTCCTTCAGGACCAGGGAGTCCTCCGCACCAGCCCGCCCCCTACCCCCCAAGAACAGTACTTCTGTCTTGTCAGGATTCAACCTCAATCCATTAGCCCCCATCCATCCTCCAACCGCCTCCAGGCACTCACACAGGACCTGCACCACCTTCACTGGTTCTGATTTAAAAGAGAGGTAGAGCTGGGTATCATCCGCTTATTGATGGGCACCCAGTACATTGTTCATTGCTTTCATATTATGGGTCAGTGGTCTCATTAGATAGTAAAATTCATGTTAAACTGCTGTTTTAGGGGTTGTTTTTAAAAGTCTGGAACAGATCAATCCATTTTGCATTACTTTCTATTGGAAAGCGAGCCTTGGTTTTGGAATGCTTTGGTTTTGGAACGGACTTCCAGAACGGGTTAAGTTTGAGAACCAAGGTAACACTGTAGTCCAAAAAAGAGCTGGAGGCCCAAGTTTTGCTCTATCCACTTGTGATTCCCAGCAACTGGCCTTCAGGAGCATTCTGCCTGCAACGGCGGAGGTAGGACATCTGCAAATGATCGTCATGCACATAGGGACCTCTCCGTGAAAATCGATCATGTGAAGATGAAAAAGAATGGAAACTATGAAAATGAGTGGAAAACAAAAACAAACGAAACCTTATGCGTTTCCATTTTTCCATTTGCTTTCGTTCATTTTGATTGCTTTGCATTACAGGGCTTGGGAAAACAATTACCTAGAACTCTGTGTAGTTAGCAGAAAAGTCCCAGTGAGGAGTGGGGAGAGACAGCAGTGCAAATGACATAGAGAACATTAATACTAGAATTGCTCAGGGGTCACCAACATGGCACTTGTGAACACCAGAGCACCCACCAGTATGTCCTGTGACACCCGTGAAAGGTCTCAGTAACATATAATAATAATTTATTATTTATACCCTGCCCATCTGGCTGGGTTTCCCCAGCCACTCTGGGCGGCTTCCAACAAAGTATTAAAATTACAATAAAACATCAAACATTAAAAACTTCCCTAAACAGGGCTGCCTTCAGATGTCTTCTAAAAGTCAGATAGTTGTTTATTTCCTTGACATCTGATGGGAGGCCGTTCCACAGGGTGGGCGCCACTACCAAGAAGGCCCTCTGCCTGGTTCCCTGTAACCTCACGTCTTGCAGCGAGGGAACCACCAGAAGGCCCTCAGAGCTGGATCTGTGTCTGGGCTGAACGATGGGGGTGGAGACGCTCCTTCAGGTATACTGGGCCACGGCCGTTTAGGGCTTTAAAGGTGAGCACCAACACTTTGAACTGCGCTCAGAAACGTACTGGGAGCCAATGTAGGTCTTTCAGGACTGAAGTCATGTGGTCTCAGGGCCACTCCCCTCAAAAATCCACAATGCACAAGAAACTGTTCACACTTTCTGCTCAGTTCCTGTTCACCTTGCTCAGCTGCTGTTACATTTCAGCCGTTACAGCAAGCCCACAGAGCAGCTATTTCTATGACGCGCCACACCTCCACAGCAGCCACTGTGTGAAGGGCGCCCCCAGCCATTTCTCAAAATGCCAGGTGTGCCCACTGGCCCCAAAAGGTTACCACAAAGCTGGAATGTGCCTCTGCAGATTTCAGAAAGTTTACATGGAACTAATAGGAGCAGAACAGTGAAACTATCAGATCAAAAAGAAAATAATTTTGGAAGCATTTCTGGAGTCGATATTGTTCACACCTTTGCTAGTTGCATTTGTGTTAAGTGTCAGAATCACTAACCACTAACTGCATGTAGTAGCACAACTATAGATGGTAAAGTAGATGACGCATTGCAATTAAGACCATATGTTCAAGATATCTGGAGCCTGTATTGTTTTCAATAATAGACCATGTATGGCAGTGCAATGTCTTCACTAGGGATCAGCCAGATCTGATTGAACAGTGAAGTTACTTTTAAACTGTATGTGTGTGCCCCTGTGTGTATGTGTGTGTGCATGTGTAAAAAACACAGCTCATCTTGAAAACAATTCTACCTATGCAGAACCTCAATAACTGCCTTAGGTGGAGTTCAAACCCAAATCTAATTATAAGTATTTATCTTGAACTTGAAGAGTGATATTCTGTTGGTGGGATGCACTTCATTTCCATGACTCGTCTTAGAAGCATGTCTTATGCACAACACTTGACTTTCTCAAGGATCTTCCAGAGACAAATTCGCAACTCCTTGAGAGGGAGAGAGTGTTCTTGACGCAGCTTTTGCATGCATTCTTGGGACAGTTGAGGTCAAATAACTCCCGGCTCCAGCCTTGTATTGTCATATGCAACAGAACTGTTTATATTTCACATCTGCACACTGTGCCAACAAAGCCAAGAGCACAGCCATCTGTCCTTTGCACTCATGTCTCTTGTTTGGGCTTTGGGTGTCCTCTGCCACTTGGGGGGGGGGCAGTCTGCCTCATGCCCTGCAAGGTCCAAGCCCAGATTTTACATTCAACCAGGTAAGAGCTGTTGGAGATCTCTCAAACAGGTGACTCGATGGGGTTGCCATACAGTGGTACCTCGGGTTAAGTACTTAATTCGTTCCGGAGGTCCGTACTTAACCTGAAACTGTTCTTAACCTGAAGCACCACTTTAGCTAAAGGGGCCTCCCGCTGCCACCACGCCGCTGGAGCACAATTTCTGTTCTCAACCTGAAGCAAAGTTCTTAAACTGAAGCACTATTTCTGGGTTAGCGGAGTCTGTAACCTGAAGCGTATGTAACCTGAGGTACCACTGTATTTTGAAAAGTGAAAATCCGGACACAAAAGTTATTGAGCTTTCTTTAG